TAAATGAAAACATCTTCCTTATCTTTATCCATTAAATTGCTACGAGAAACGCATTTATTATTATTATCATTATTATTATCACTACATTTTCAGCAAGAAATTAAAAAAAAGAAAAAGTATATTAATAAATCTGAAATGGAATCATAACCTTTAAAAAAAAATTTCATCGAACACGATCTGTCGTCTGTAAAAACACGACAGATATTCTTGGAGTGTTTGCCAGTCCAGATCAAATAAACCCCCTCTGATATTTCTTCGTATGAATTCACGAAAAGAAGAAAAACGAAGATTTCTCAGGAGAAGATCCCCATTGTCCCACGCTACGCGTATCCCGCGTGTGTACAAACAAGCCTCACACGCGTGAGAGAATCGCGAATCCTTAACACGCCATTATGTCACGGGTTCCGCAATTAAAGGCGGCGAGTCAACAAACAGGAAGTACGTACTTCCTGAACGCTAGCTGCGACAAACCTTTATATAATGTTCTGCCCTATATTTTTTTTCAGAGCAGCCTGGTAAAACCTACTTTATAAACCGCCGCGGTTCAGCCTTTGCAATTAAATGCGGCCGAGTATGAACCATTGTGCCGTTGTTGTGTCGTCCCTTCTCTTTTCATTCTTCCATTATTATTATTATTTGTGTGTGTGTGTGTGTCTGTGTGTAGAAATAACCTTCGAAATCTTCCTTTCTTTGAGAAATGGAAATAGGTAATCGTGAACCAGTTCTCTCGGTGCTCGTCGCTTTTAAAAATTTTTCTCTGATCGATGAAAAAGAAAGATTTATGAAATTGATGAAATTAATAATATTGTGAAATATTATGAATATACATAAGAAGATTATCGAATTTTCTTTCGCGATTTCGCAAAAAATGAAGCTGTTTTTATTTCCTGAATAATTATATGTGTAGAATGTCAAAGTTATCTTTAACCATTTTATCGGAGTTAAGGAGAAAAAAAAAAATATGCTTAAACTCGTTTAAAGTTTTTTACAACTTCCTTAATTAGTTTGTACCTCGATAAAGACCAAGTTTTAATGATCGTTAATTTTATGTGAATAACAGTATCCATTGAATAGAAAGATATTCGCGTATTACATTTTTTCCCCCGGAATGTATAATTGAAATGATTCGATGCATACAGTGTATTTCAATATTCATAACGATTCTAATGCAGAAAACAAGAATATAAAATATCGAATGGAACGGTAATTGAATTAAAATGAAATCTTTTATCTGATTACTTTCTTTAACACAGTTAATACATTATAATATAAAAAAGATATAAAACTTCGAAGAGAACTTGGATTATTATGGTTTTTTTTCACCTGACACCTACACTTTTTCCTTAATATAGTCGAATATAATAATAATAATAAAAGAGAATTATAACGTTAAAAACGTAATAAATACATTATCGATGTATCTCACGTTGACAATTAAAAAGAAATTTTGCTGTTTGCTCGAATATTATTTCATTATGAATTTTTATTATTTAACCACGCGATCAATAGTAAAAATATTCGTTGAATTAATTACTCCAAAAAGAAATTGTTTTTTGATACGACATATAATTTTTTATGACGATATACACACATCCTTGATACCAACAGAAATTATTATATTTGAATGTTTCGATTGAATCTTTACTTCTTTCAATGATGAATGTTTCAGGAATCATCGATGAATAATATTTTAACATATTTTATGGTAATTAAAAATAAAAATGAAAAGTTTCATAGGGGAAGAATATTTAAATTACACGTATGATTAAACGTGTCAAATGAAATTGAAATTTAAATTTCAGTCACGGGTAATTCATATATCATAAATCTACATAAAATTCAAAACATTATCTCTATCTAGTAAAAAAATCTAGCTAAATACTAAATACTATAAAGGAACAAAACCCATTCTTTCAATTTTGCAATTTTTAAACATTTTTAACTCGTGATAAATTTTCGAATGTTTGATCATCGACACAATGTTTGTAAACAGGGGGAAAACAAAATTAAAGTAGATGAACCAACACAATGGATGGAATACCAACGCGGCAGAAATGAAAGTATTGATTAAGTCACGGACAAGCTGATGACGTTGAGAATAAAGTTTATCTGGAGACTGAGGATTAAGCGAGTTTGTAATCCACTGAGTTAAACCGCTTGGTTAAGGGTGGCTGGAAAGTGGATTCCGGCGTGACATCTTTCTTCCCCTCTCCCCCTCCCCCTCCCTCTCTTCTGGAATTATTCCGTGCTCATCGTTAATTAATTAATTAGAATGCGTTAACGCACAAATGGATCCCCTTTCTATTTTTGAACGCATTATCTGCGTGCCGCGAAATAAGCTTCATTTCTAAATTTAATTCTGGTCGATAAATTACGAATGATTATGCCATAAAGTGATTTTACCTAACCTGATAATTATTCATATTATTACAAAAGAGGATAAAATATATATATATATTTATTGTTTTTCTAGATTCTTCATCGTTTACGATGTTAGGAATATTGTAATGAGATTTTTGAAAATTTATTTTTTGACACGTTGACAGAGAAAAATATCGATTTTACTATCGTTAAATTTTACATTTCTTTTTCTTCTTTTCAAATAATCTATTATTGCATGTTATTCCTTTCTATCCTTGTTTCTTTATCTCGTATTATCAAGTATCCCGTTCTCCTCGATTAATCAAATATTACGAGTTATTATTTTCTTTTATTCTTTCATCCCCGGTATGTTAATTTTTTTCGTGATAAGCTATTTTTTAAATTATCTCACAGATAGCGAAGATTAGAATGTAATTATCGGGAAAGGATAAAATTAGAAAAATTATTTGTAATTCATCAAAACATAATTAAAGGTTGTTAAGTGAATTTGCAAAATTTTCTCGACAAGAAAATTTTAAAAAAATCAGTGGAACAGTTGTATCTTAACTTAGCTCAACGGAGCGCGAATAAGAATGAAACTCGACAACGAATTAAATGCTTCGTCTAGCGTTAATTACGAAGCTTCTTCTCGCATAGTAATCAGATCACGTATAAAACGAAAGTGCGCTAATTATCCCGCGTAATTCTTTGCATCTCTATCAACTGTATACACACATAACTCCGAAAGAAACCGATTAACATGAATTTCGTTTACCTCTTTCAAATTTTCATCCGTTTTGGCTTGGAAGTGAATAATAGCTTCGAGGAGTTTAGGGCAAATTGTTACGCGCACGTATGAATGCGAATTTATTATTATTGTTCACCGTGTCACCGAGATGGGTGTACGTAACGTTATATTCTACGTGTTGATAACAAAATGGAGGAATTTAGGAACGTGTATTCTCCGCGTTTATTCCATTTTCAAACAATGTGGTTCCAAGCTGTGTGTGATTTGACTTTATAGTCGTGAACAAAAGTTGAACGTAGTTGAAACGAGGATGAAAGGATGGAGAAAGGAAATTTAGTGATTTAACGCTGGCTTTATTTC